TTATCTCTAATCCCGTCTTGACAGATAATCAATCAATCAATCAATCAATTTTTTATACGATTACTTTAAATTAAATATTATAAGATTTTCGTTTAATAAATAAAAAAATGTACCGTTAAAAAAATTTTTGTAAAATGAATGAAATTTTTTTTTATTCTTTACCCCCCCCTATTTTTATTTCATTCATTCATTCGTTTATTATTATTATTATTATTATTACATAATAATTTATTGTCCTTAAAAAAAAAAAAAAAAACTATGAAAAACTCATTGTGACATTTGATACATTTTTAAGAGGTGTCAAATTCATTTAAAAAAAAAAAAAAAAAATTTAAACTTGTATTAAATTATATTTAAAAATGATTGTGTTATAATCAATACAATATCGATAAAATAACGTGATTGATTGATTGATTGATTTAAAAAAAAAACTTAACTATTTTGCTTGTTTTTTTCTGTTCGATAAGTATTATTATTATTATTATTATTATTATTATTATGACAAACGTTTTAATAATATTTAAAAAAAAAAAAAAAAAGAAAAGTCTGAAAAGAATAAAATTTTTTTATTTTTTGTTTACAATTATTATCATTAAAAATGATTAAGCTTTAAACATAAACATTAACAGAGCGGTCTGCGACCTTTAAACAAACCTGTAAACAATTATTGTTATTATTATTATTATTATTTTCGAATATTTATTTTGACATAATAATAATAATATCGATTTTTTCATTTTCGTTAAGAATTATAAAAATATTTATAATAATTTTAATTTTTTTTTTTTTTTTTTAATTTTAGGAAGACTTAAAGATAATAATTTGGAAAAGGATAAATTTTTTGCCAACAACGACAACAACAACAACAACAATAATAATAATAATAATGTTGCAGACGCGTTTGTTGATTTGTTAAAAAAAACAACAGAAAAAGAAAAAATTAAAATTAGAAAAAAATTAGAAAATGATTTAAACGAATTTACTAAAAATATTGTCGGAGTCGTAGAAAGCGAAAGTATAATTCAACAAAGCCGTTTAAATTTATCAACTGGAGAAAGTTCTGGAGAAAAAAATTCCAAGTAAGATTATTAGAAAAAAAATAAAATGCGGTTTACACGACGATACGTACAAAATTATCCAGGTGTACGAATTTTAACTTTATATATCCCCTAATTAATAATAATAATAATAATTTACATCGACTGATGGATGAATCCTTTATCGTCATCATGACCTCTAACCCCTTGATATAGTACTGGAATCATTCGAATTTAAAAAAAAAAAAATTTAAATGAGTAATGGAGGGAGGACACCTGGTTTTATTTTAAAGGTACCCTTTGATATCTCCCGATGGTTTATCCACCTGTTACATCCTATTTATAATAAACAGTTAGGACAACAAAAACCGGAAACTGAAAAATGTACGACAGGAAATTCACCAACACATCGAATTCCAGCATCCGGATAAAAAAAAAAAAATTTCATCATCCAATCGAATCCATTCATATTTTCATCCTCCTCCTCCCCCTCCTCCTCCTTGTTTTGTTGTTGGCAATTTTTTTTCTTTCTTTTTATCTAAATTTATTTTAGAAAATCATACAAATATGGAGGATTTCACGAAAAATCTTTCGAACCGAGAAATTCACTTTTAACCGATTTGTTTAAAGTTAATCACATTAGCACCATTTATCATATTTTCATTGCATTTCTAATTAATTTATTTATTAATACGGCTGTTTATGACGTCATAAAACTAGGAAAGTGAGTAATCATCATCATCATCATCATTAAAATTTACTTTTTTTTTTTTTTAATATTTTTTATTTAAAAAACAAAATTTTTGGTTTTTCCGATCCAGAATCAATTTGGGATTTAATTTAATTTATTGGAATTTTCAATCATTACCATTGGCTGGAACTATATGGATTTTAATGCAAATCGCGACATTTTTAATTTATTTCGTTTTTAAATATTGGGCAAACAACCGGAAACGAATAACAAAACGTACGTTATCATATAATACAATTAAAATGATAAACACGTGAAAAGCACGTGTAACAGAAAAAATTTTATTTTTCCAGCCGGATATAGGAAAATGTGGGATTTGATGTTTTTCTTATCGATAACCTTTTACAATATTTTATTTTTAATTATTCCTGCTTACGTCATCATGCATGAAAGGCTTGCCATTGCAATATCATTTTCACTTTTGATGGAACAAATACGATTCATTATGAAAACTTATTCATTTGTGAGAACGTGCGTACCGAGATACACGAATGATAATAATAATAATAATAATAATAGTAAAACCGTTAAAAATTATCCAAATTTTAAAACGTATTTATATTTTTTATTTGCTCCGACATTGATTTACAGAGACGAATATCCGAGGTAATAAAAAATTTTATTTTATTTTCCTATTGTTATCATTATTATCGATTTCGTATGTTTTTTTATTAGGAATTCAAAAATCCGTTGGAAAATCGTCATGAAACATTTCATTGAAATAATTGCGGTTATTTTTTATCTGTCTTTCATATGGGAAAATTATTTAATACCATCGGTTAAAAATTTTGGAAAAATAAAAATAACAACAGAAGAATTATTGATTATTTTTTTTAATAATAACGTTCCATGCGTTTTTGTTTTCCTTTGCGGTTTTTATTCTTTTTTACATTCTTGGATGAATGCATTTGCTGAAATTTTACGTTTTGCAGATAGAATGTTCTATCAGGTACTATTATTACGTAAGGTTTGTCATCAACTAACAAAAAATTAAACGTTTCGATTTGTTTTTTGTTAAAATTCAGGATTGGTGGAATTCTTCTTCTTTTGCCGAATATTATAAAACATGGAATGTCGTCGTCCATGATTGGTTGTATGCGTTTGTTTATAAAGATGGTACGGAAAATTTAACTAAAAAAAAAACAGTTTCCACGTGGATGGTGTTCATTATATCCGCACTCTTTCACGAATACATATTAGCATTTACATTTAAATTTTGTTATCCAGTACTTTTTATCGTTTTTGGAATTATCGGGAGTAAGTTTTATTAATTGATTTATTTATATATATATGTATATATTTAATAAATGACACAAAAAAAATTTTCTTTTCCAGCTTGTTTGGTTTTTATACCTAAAAAACGTGAGTCGGTAATTGGTAACATGCTTTTATGGTTGGGAATTTTTCTCGGTACCGGATGTTGTGGTAGTTTATACATGTTAGAATATTATGCAAGAATTAATTGTCCTCAATTAATTGTAAGACTTATTATCATTATTATTTTTTTTTAATAAAACGAATTGGGGGGGAAAAACAAACAGAAAATTTTAAATTTAAATAAAACTAATAATTTTTTTTTTTTTTTGTTTTAGAATTCTCCAATAAAAGATTTTTTCACACCCAGATCATGGACGTGCAGTCATTCAGGTACGAGTTAATAAATTTATTTAATAAAAAATAAATTATTATTATTATTAATTCTTTGTAATAATTTTTATATTTATATTATTGTAAATAAAAATATTCATTTGCTCAGGTAATACAAAAATAATTTTTTGTAAAAATATTTATTAAAAAAAGAAAAAGTTTATATTAAACAATAAAATTGAATTTGTTAAAAACAATTCTTCTTTTTTTTGTTGTCGTTGTTGCAAATTACATGCCGAAATTTTAACAATAAAAAAAAAAGTAAACAAAAAAAACAAAAAATGGGGTGGACGGGGAAACGAGGGAAATTAATCGTAGGGCTACCGACAAGCAGGGAAAAAAATTCCCACACTTGCATTCGCGTGTGTGTACGACTTGTGATAAGTCGGTGTAAATCATTTTAGAAATTTTTAAATGATTTACTCCGTGCATAAGGTAAACATAAGCGAGAATGTTATACAAATGATTTAACGTTAAGTAAACATAAGCGTAATTTAATCAACAGTTTGTTTACCTGTAATCAAATATTATCATCTTTTATCTCTTTCAAATACGAATTTCGACTATGTTTTTATTATTATTATTATTATTATTATTATTATTATTATTATATATAAATTTTCTCTACGTAATATTATTATTATTTTTTAACTATACGATGATGACAAACAAATTTTTTTTTTTTTTAAATAAATAAATAAATAAATTTTTTATTTTTTTTTTTAAATCGTAAATGTAAATAAGTTTCATTTTTGTTAATAAAAACCGGAGAGAGAGAAAAAAAAATTAATTTGATAAAAAAAAAATTATCAAATGACCAAAACGAATGAGTGAGAAAGAGAGAGAGAGAAATAGGGAGGAAAGAAAAAAAAAAGAAGAGGGAACGTTAAAAAAAAAAGTGGACCAAGGGAACTCACAACCTACCGGTGCCGAATTGACTACTCACACAACCTTCCCTTCCCTCTCCTCTTCCCTCTCATAAATAATACACTCTTTATTTCCCCTCACTTCTCCCTTCTCCCCCTCCTCCTCTTCACTTCTTCACCTTCCCTTCCCGTGTAACATAAACAACAGAAGGAACCAACGTGGGAACTTTTAACTGAAGGAATCTACTCAGTATCGTTTTATCATGTCGAGGAATTGGTCTCCTCACTATTATTATTGTTAATATAAAATTTTTTTGAGTTTTTCGTTTGTCGTTTGTCGTTGTTGTTGTTGTTTCGTTGTTTTTTATTTAAGGCTTTTTTTTATTAAAATTTTTTTTTCGTTTTGGTTATTAATTTTTTTTTTTTTTTTGCGTGCCTTAATCGTTTTTCTCTCGCTGTTTTTTTTTTTTTTTATGTTGATTTTAAACTGTTAAGTGATATGTATAAGTGAATGAAAACTTTTGAAATAATGAAAGAAAAATTTTTTTTTTAAATAAAAGTGAAAAAGGTTTTAATAAAAATTATTATATAATAATTATACGATAATTAAATACAAAAAAAAAGGATGCCGGTGAGCGAAGATGAATTTGAAAGGCCACCCGTCGTACAAGTGGCGACAAATCAAAGGACAATGTCGAAAGCAGAACAAAGAAAGGTAGTCATAATAATTATTATTATTTAATTTTTTGACAATATGCAGACGACAAAAAAAAATTTTTTTTCAAAATCCGCAGTGGCCGCAAGTTTTTAACGTTTAAGTTAAGTAATGACGTCATTAACGCCCCCAAAGCGGGTAAAATATTCTCCTCCAGAATTTTTTCCCCGCTTCTTCGACAATGATTCGACATTTTTTTCGTTCGCTCACTTTGAATTTTCTTCTTAATCGGACTTCGAATGAGTCGGTTAAAAAAATAATATTTTAACCGTGAGAAAAACTATTTTCCGACGAGGAGCAGACGAAAAAAAAAAATGGAAAATTTGTGAGAAAAAAAAAAAATCATTCGCGAGCTGGATTTTATTGGAACGGCCGGACGCTGTCGCGGATTTTTTTTTGCTGCTGGAACGATTTAAAATTTTTTTTAAAAATTATATTAATTTCATTATTATCATTATCATTAATTAATTTCTCTCTCTCTCTCTCTCTCTTTTCAGAGTAACAAACCGATAATGGAAAAAAGAAGAAGAGCTCGAATCAATCATTGTCTCAACGAATTGAAAACTTTAATTTTGGATGCCATGAAAAAAGATGTGAGTATATAAACACAAGGAAAAATTTTTATATAAAATTCCCATAAAGTTATACCGATGATGATGATGATGATGATAATAATAATAATAATAATAAAATGACCTGAATGAACTCCCGAGTCGTTCTTCTTCGAACGTGGGAAATGTTAAAAAGATTTTAATGGGGCGATTTTGGTTCTTTGATTTTTTTTTTTTTTTTTTGCAACACGTCCATAGGTATTAATTGTATTTAAAAAAAAAAAAAGAAGAAAAGAAAAAAAAAATTACTACGAACTGTTTTAAGGGGTGTAATTCAGAGGGTGAAACCAACAAACCAAGTCTTTAAAAAAAAAAGAAATCAAAAAGGTAAAAAAAAAAAAAATTTATATTTCAATCGAATGAAAATTAAGTTTGAGTTGTTGTTACGAGGGATGAAATTAAAAGGGATGATGGATTTATTATATTTCTCATAATAATAATAGTAGTAACGTGATTTAAAAAAAAAAAAAGAAATTTAAATTTGTCGTGGAATTTCATCAATAATTAATTTATTTACTCATCATCGTTTAATTCGATTGAAAAAACAAAGAAACATGGCGGATAACTCTTTCTTTCTTCGACTTTTTCGTGGCATTAAATAATTCTCATGAAAGGGAAATTAAAAAAAAAAAAAGAGGGTGTTATAAAAAAGTAAAAACAAACAAATGAACGAGTTGCAATTTTTTTTCTTAATGTAAAAAGGTTATAAAGGAAAATAAAAGGAAACGAACCGTGAACTTGTGTAACATCCGAAAAACCTGAGGGGAAAATTCTTCTAAGGTAAAAGTTGTTGTCATCCGGGGGTTTGATAATTCCCACGAAGAAAATAAGAGATGGGGTGGTGGTGGTGGTTGTCTCGAGGGTTCCACGCGAGAATCTTTTTTTTAAGATGAAAATAAAGAAGAAAAAAAAATGGGTAGTATGAAAATTATGTTAAGAAAATAGGGAAAGAAAAACAACCCATCTTTTTGTTTACATCTTGGAACAAAGAAAAACCGTATCACTCTTATTGTTATTGAGAATAATAATAATAATAATAATAAAATTCCCACCCTCTGTTGGACTTGCATGACTTGTGCATGAGGAGATTCGAATGATTTTTAAGAGAATTCTGCCACGTTTCCACGTGTCTTCGCACGACTCTCACGACCCAAAAAATCCTTTTACATCATGTTAACTTTACCTGTAATTCAAACATCTTACGATTTACAACCGCAAATTCTCACGTGTCTTAAAAAAAATTTTAAATGATTTGTTTTTATATTGAAATCAACGTTATTTTTCCAGTCAACTTACGTTTAAAAAACGTTTGTTCTCACGTGCCGGGTTTAAATTGTAACAAAACAAATTTCGCCCATTTATTATTTATCGGCACGATTGTTTTTATATGTTTCAATTTTCGATTGAACCCTTGGTGGTTCTCACGTTTTTATGTTTTTGTTTTTGTTTTCTAGTAAAGGATCGCTGTTTCCTTCGGCAAAAATTTAAAAAAAAAATAATAATAATGCCGAACGGTATTTAAGTCATAAAGATGTTAAACAACCGTAAAAAAAAAAAATAATAATAATAGTTGTAAAAAATGGGGATCGAAAATCCGAAAGCTCTAAAATTAAAAAATTTTTAAAAGTTTGTTGGGATACACAACCTTTTCCAAAAATTTTTTTAAGGTATGGACAACAATTCCAGATGAACAAAACGATGAATTAAAGTGACACTTGCCGTCAGCATCCCGTTGAACATTCCCAGGGGGGTGATGTCATCAAGTCGTTAAAAAGATTGGAAAAAAAATAAACAACTTGAAGGAAAAATAATTTATAAACCGCAAATAAAACGATGATGGTAAAATATAAATAAAAAAATAAAAGTAAATAAAAAAAATTAAAAAGGAAAAGGATAAATATACACTTGACACTTAAATTTAAAAAAAAAAAAAAAAAAAAAAAACCGATACCTGAATGAAAATACCTGAATGATCGGCCTTTAAAAAAAAAAAAAAATTAAATCAAACGGAAGTTAACAAGTGCACGGGAGGAGGGGAGGGAGGGGAAGGGGGGCTTTATTAGTGTTTCTTTAGTGACAGCTGGAGGAGCCTTCTGTCTGGAACCTGGTTCGTACTACCTTTCTCATAGTGTTTTCTTTCCATAAGATAATCGTGAGAAATTATTTTTTTATTTTTCATTAAACCTAGTGAGAGTGACATCATCGTTCCCACGCTCATTCATATTTTTCCAAACTTTTTTCTTTCCTCCGTTATGGAGAAGAAGTTTTGTGTGTGTGTGAATTTCAAGAAGGATTGTCCGACTGGAAAAAAAAATTATTTAAGAGAGGCTAATATTTATTAATTTTCCCATCTAAATAATTTAAAAAAAATTTTTTTTTTTTTTTTGAATTGCGGTTTTCATCATCGTCATTATGAAAATTGTTACAATTTTTATTCCAAGTCAGGTTGTTTTTTTTGGGAGTCGTCGTCGTTAATACCTAATTTTTGTTAATTTAGTCGTTTTGGTTAACGTTTAACTGTTAATTAATGAACTGCTTTATTCCTGGCTTTGATATTAAGGCAAAAATTTAACTATCGTTAATTAACAATTTACAAATAATAGTTAATTTTTTTTGTTAGGTACTAAAAAAAAACACGCAACATTTTTTAAACGTTTTTTTTTTTTTTTAAGTTCTACTACGCCATTTGCAAATAATTAAATTGTTGTTAATTGTTGTTGTTGTTCGTTTAATTGAAGTGTGTGACTTTTTTTTTTGTAGCCTGCAAGACATTCGAAATTAGAAAAAGCCGACATATTGGAAATGACTGTTAAACATCTTCAGCAAATTCAACGTCAACAATTAGCATCGGCTGTTGCTGCAGATCCTGGTGTTATTATGAGATTCAAAAATGGATTCGATGAATGTGCTGCTGAAGTGAGCAGATACATATCACGTTTGGATGGTGTTGATAATGGTGTTAAACAAAGATTGACGGCTCATTTGCACAGATGCGTATCGAGTATACAACACATATCCACGTTTCCGCATCAAAGTATGTTTTCAACGTTTAATCAAAACTGTGATAAAAATACAATTGTTCTACCTAATGTGCCTGCGATACCGGAAGATGTAAACAATAATAATAATAATAATCAAAACGTTGAAAGAATACAAATACCGAACGGTTTGCATTTGATTCCGAGTAGGTTACCAACGGGAGAACTTGCTCTTTTGGTACCCAATTCAAATCACATGTCGACGTTTCTTAATGCAACCGCAGGAAACACTTTTCAATTTTCTTCAAATACAAACGTGACCTCTGTATTAAATCCGATTTTGGGAGGAACTTTAAATTCTACATCGAATTATCCGAGCGCTTTTACAGCCGTTAATAAAAATCAAGAGTATCCATCTCCGACTTCGACGGCTGATATAATTAAAAAAGAACCCAATTTGTCGGAAAAAGACGATTTGAAATCTTCGTCTTATTTGAACAGATCAACAGATCAATCATCGTACAATCAAAATTATAATTTTAAAGTTACCGAAAGTTTAAACGGTGGTAAAACCATGACTGATAATCAAGAGTACAAAAATTCAAATTTAACCAACGGTCAAGATTTACACGAAGGAAGTCGAAATTATGATAAATATGAAACGTTCCCGTGTAAATCCCTGGATGAATCTGATTACGATAATAAAATATCACAGAGAGCAAGTTCTTCGTCTTTTCAAAGAAATGCTGCCGATTCGACAACGTCATTCACTCAAATCAAAGAAGAAACCGTTGAAAGTGGATTCAAACCTTTTCACGTCGACATACCAAATAGTCATTTGAAGGCACACATAAGTTTATCGAAAAATGTTAATGAAATTAAAACTCCGTTGCAAATTCAACACAAACCCAATCCTAATTTCACCATAAATCCCAATAAATTATATCAGAAATCGTCGCCACATAAATTTTCCAGATATTATTCAAATGTCGAAAGTAGTTATTCGGATGTTGGTAAACCTGATACGGCATTTGATAACATTTCAAAAAGAGATGAAAATAACGATGTGAACAATTATCCGGGAAGGGATTATACCGTTTCTACGAACGGTAAACTCACTTCATCTCAAGAAGAAACGACAGCGACGACGACAACAACTAAAATCACAGAAAATTTATATAAAAATGGTAAACGATCGTTTCATAACGAATCGTCTGACATGATTCCTGCCACGACTTCCGCCGAACCTCAAAATAAAATTCAAAGGATTTCCCTTAACGTCACTCTCACAGACGATCAATCGAAAAGTGAACAAAATAATAAAAATCGTTGCAAAAGAATTTCAGTTATTGTTGAAGATTCATCTAAAAACAATACTAAAGAAAATAATAAGGAAATACAAATGAGTGTTTCTTCACAAAAGGATATGTGGAGACCTTGGTGAAATTTATTTACTCTGTGAAAATTTTTTTCTTTTTTTTAAATTTTTACTTCTTTCTCTTTTCTTTATATTTTTATTGACTATTGATTAATTATTGATAGGTTTTACTTTTTTTTAAATTATAATTTGTAAATTATTATTAAAAAAAAACGCCTCAAGTTCATTTTTTTTTGAAGTTTAGTAAAGATTTTTTAGTGAATTTTACAAAAAAGAAAAAAATCAATGGCGTACTTTTTATAAATAAAAATTTTTTTATTGAGCATTCATGATTTTAATTTAAAGTTTTCATCACAATGAAGAAAAATCTCATCAGGAAAATTCATTTAAATTTATCGAATAAATCCCTTGATTCAAATAAGTTCCGAAAGAAAAACAATTTCCACCGCCTCCGAGTATTAAAATTTTTTTTACATTCTTTTCCTCTATGACTTCCGTCGAATGATTGAAAAATAAGACGGGATGAGGTCCGCGAGCCTAGAAATAAATACCTTGTATTGTGTTAAAGACAAATTTCATAAAGTAAATAAATTTGTTTTCAGTTTGACTTACTTCCAATGAATATTCGATTGCCGTTAAATTATTTAAATTAATTTTAGATATTCCGGGTTGTAAACCGGTTAAAGTATTGACTCCACCGATTAAAAAAAGTTCATCGTTTATTATATGCGAAGTGTGACCGTATCTCGGTAAAACATTTCCCTTTATATTAACCTGTTCCCATTTTTCTTCCGTGCAATCCCATTTCCTAATTTAATTTCGATAAATGTTTATCACAAAATTTTTTTTTTTTCTCGGTATAAAATTTATTTTCACTTACCAAATGTCATTTAATATAATTGACGAATTGATTTTCATACCGCATGACATTAGAACTGATTTATTCCTTTCCCAACACGCCATGCTTTGTGACATTCTACAACAAGGCCAATTTTCATTGGTTTTTTTTAAAACTTTGTAAGAATAATCCAAATTATTTTTATCATTTAAACTAAAATTAAGTTTTATGAGGTCTGCTGACGAAACCTGGAAATAATCATAAAGTTTTTTTTTTCTTTTTTCCTACTAAACATGAATGTGTAACAACTTTTAAAAAGGATTATAAATTAATCTCACATTAATATCCCCGGATCTTCCTCCAAAAATCAAACACTCAACTTGATTATCGTTCAAGGTGCAAGAAATCAATGAACTCCGATAAAGTGGAGTAATATTTTCAAGAGGAATGATTAATTTCAAAATGAATGAATCGTTTAAAATTTCAAATAGAACTAGAGATCCATTATTAGCTATTACTGATGGACTTGTTCTACCCCCATACATACAACAAAAATTTGATTCCTTTAGTCGAAAATTAGTAAGACTTCCATAAACTCTATCCAATTGTACTTTGATATTATTTGCTGAAAAAAAAAAAAAATTATTTTCTACTTTAGGGAAATTGATTTTATATCTTTTTAAATTTGGCAACATTGTCACTTACTTATAACATTAATTATTTCTGAATTAAGATTATTCGATAAATCAATTCTAAAAACATCTGAATTCCTTTTCTTACTTTTACTGCCACCAACTAAATATATATATTTTCCTTTATTCAATTTGAAAGATGAATGTCTAAAAAGTTCAATATTACTTTCTAAATAATTTAATATCAATCTCTTTCTATCATCTAAAAATTAGGAAAAATTTTAAGTATTAACATTAAACACAGTGTTGTAGAAAAAATTATTTAAAATTAATAAACCTTTAAATTGTTTCAAAGAATAAAAAGGTAAAGAATCAATCCATTCAGATGATTTTTGATTTCCTGCTATTCCAACAACATAATGAACACATTTATTGTGAAATTCTTCAAATTCATCAAATATTTCTTTCGAATAAGCATTTTGCCTTTCATTTTCAGTAGTCAAAAACATAAAAGCATCCCACTCAGACAGAGACACATTATTTTGAAATCCCTAAAACATAATTAAACCTAATATATAGAAAATAATACAAAGATTTATAAAAAAAAAAATAAACTTAAAATAATTATAAAACATACTAAATTTTTATATCTCAAGTAATGAGAATCACAATCCGGATATTTTTTAACTGAAAAAAGTGAACTTTGAAGTTTATCAAAATGCTTAAGCATGATTGTGCCAAAACCATCATTTGGATGAATTTGTTCATAATTAATAAATGCTCCATTTTGAAATTTTTTAGCTATCCATTCAAGCAATTGATTAGATCTAAAAAATCCACAAATAAATATATATTGTAAAAGGTTTTTATTAATATAAATTTAAATTGGTTGACAACTCTCACTTTTCAACATGCATATATGTAATGACACATTCCGATAAAAATAATGTCGGAATATTATATTCAATATTAATGTCATTAAATATTGTTTCAAGTTCATTTATTTTACTTAAATCTGCTTCTACTAAAATGTAATTGCTGCTTAATTGGTTAACACTCTGATTTGAAATTTTACTATCTACTTTAGTAAAATATGATTGCAATACACTTGATTGATTAATGAATGATATCTTACTCCTAACAATACTTGGAAAATCAATTTCCACAAACAGTTTACAATTATTTAAAAGTTTGGCTTCTGATAATTTCCAAAAAGTAGTATCAAAGCCAGCCCCACAGGAAACAATCTGAAACTGAATGTATTTTATTTTTATTCATGTAATAATAAATTGATAAGAAGTTTTCTTTAACTAAAAACTATGAAGGTTGTAGTAAAATAAAATTTACCTTAATAATATTTTTCGAAAGTAAAAAGCTAATGAAATTTTTTATCAAATTATAAACAATTACAGTCCTAGTGTAATAACCTAAATTAATTAGAGACGCTCTTAGTTTTTTTTTCGGTACAAAATGTTCGATAAAAATATCGTTAAAGTAATTTTGACTTGCTGCTGAACATTTTGAAATAATACAGGCACCGTTGGTTGATTGAACCTAAAATCATGAAAACCTTCTATTGATATAAGATAAAATGAGGACATTATTTTAAAAAATTATTATAACCTGTGTACTATTGACGTTATTACTCATAATTTTATATAATAAATGTCTTAAAATAAAGTTAAAATTTTATTAATCGTTACTACATCTACTTTTGGAGTGGAAACGTGGAAGCAGATAAACAGCAGTAGTTTAAAAATTTATTAACTGTTTACATGTGAGAATTGTATTTTAAGATGTTTAAAATTTTTTTTTACTTTTAGCTAACAAACTTCAATAGTATTTTTTAAAAATTTTTATTAGTCACTAAGTTTTTTACAGTCAGCATAATATATTTTAGTTGAAAAACGTAAAAATGCCTAGTTGGAATCAAATTCAGTCACAGTTACGAAATCCAAACAATCCTGTTGTATTTTTTGACGTTAGTGTTGGAACAACGGTAATACCCTTTATAAATTTTCAATTAACACTAGAATAAAATGTATTTAAATAAATTTGATGTTGAAATACGTTACAGGAAATCGGTAGAATGATTATGGAATTATATGCCGACGTTGTACCCAAAACTAGTGAAAATTTTAGAGAGTTTTGTACTGGAGAATATAAAAAGGATGGTGTTCCTATTGGATATAAAGGAGCAAATTTTCATAGAGTTATTAAAGATTTTATGATTCAAGCAGGTGATTTTGTTAATGTAAGTATAAGTTAAACCTAAAATATAAAAACTATATCTAATTTTCAAATTTATTAATTAATTTTTTTCACTTTAGGGTGATGGTACTGGTCTAATGAGTATTTATGGAGGAGGAACTTTTCCAGATGAAAATTTTATATTAAAACATGATGCTCCTGGACTTTTATCAATGGCTAATAGTGGTAAAGATACTAATGGATGTCAATTTTTCATCACTTGTGCCAAATGTAATTTTTTAGATGGAAAACATGTCGTTTTCGGTAGAGTTATCGATGGATTATTGGTAATGAGAAAAATAGAAAATGTACCTACAGGACCAAATAATAAACCCAAAATACCAGTAACAATATCTCAGTGTGGTCAAATGTGAATAATTTATAGACTTGTTTATAAATAATTTATTTTTAAATATTCAATATTTTAAATAAAACAAAGAAAAGAATCTTACATTAATAAAAGGAAAGCCAAAATTTTTTCTAAAAAAAAAAAAAGTTACAAAAATGCATTTAGCACTAAAAGCTTTTAAATTATATCTCAAAATAAATAATTTCAAAATAAAAGATATATGATTTTTAATTTCAATATTAATAACAATTACTACCCTTTTATGTTTGTCAAGAATTTTTTTGTAATACATTTAAGGTTTGCATCTTGACAACTGGTTTTCCATATCTGACTTGAGCTTCTTGGTAGAAAGCACTTTCCATTTGTCTAACTAATTCATTAAAAAAGAGATTTGCTAAATGAGAATGCAATGCAGATTTAAAGTTAAAAGATACATAAAAATCTATAATACAAGTATTTTCATTGTTTTTTAAACCGGGTGAAAATTTCCAAATTGTCAATAAATAGTGAAATAGCTTTCCTTCCGTACAAACAGCTTTAATAAGTTGCGGTTTAATTAATGTAACTTCCGAAGTGTAGCTTTCAACTAATGGTGGAAAACCAATTATTAAATCTGCTTTTATGTTGGATTTACTTCTAAATGTAACATGGGATCTTTTACAAAATGGTAAAAATGATTGATATTTCTCAACATCTGCTACTACATCAAACATTTGGTCTGCAGAATACCTGAAATCAGTAAAATAATAAACACTCACACACACTCAAATTATTATAAACCAAATTGTTTTGAAAAATTGGTTTTGTAATAGCATTACATAAATTAGACATCAATTTCAATTCACCCCACTAATTTTTTTCCTTGATATTCCTTGTTTGTTCCTTGTAAGTTTCCTCGAAATAATAAAAAGCCTCTTGTGACAGCATAATCGAAAGGTTGGAACTGCAATACTGGATGAACAACACCATTAAAATCTCTGCTACCTATTACAGATGTTTCCACTGGATGAAATCTAAATTTAAAAAAAAAACTTGAACATCATTTTTTTTTTAATCAAAAAATTTAAATATCAAAGTTTCCAAGGTCACTTACTTGCTAAATGTAAAATTCCTCATCTGATACGCAAAAACACAATATCTTTTACTGAGGGATAATAACGACTTTGATTGTAACGAATATAAATTTTTGATTTTAAAAAATTTTGTATACATTTGTTAGCAATCATACTCTTCATATCAATAACTTACAACTTGACATGCGATTTTTTCACTTAGCTAAGATGATTAAATTTTCAAAAAATTAATTAACTTAAATAACACCATTTAATTACAATTCCTATTATTTTAAATTTTAAAAACAAATTTACTGAAAATTGTTTTGTTATTTTTTTTTTGTAAAATATTTTTAATGTACTAGTATTTTCGTGCCAAAAAATCTATATTTTCTGCTTTGAAAAACCATGACCAATTAAGCCTGAAGGTCTTTTGATAATTTTCTTCTTCCACGTTTAAAACCAAAATAACAACAAACATGGAAGATTTTACAAATAGAGTTGCCAAAAATTCATAATAATTTTATTTATTTTTATTATTTTTTTTTATGTAAAAACGTTTAAAATGCGGGTTTACATTAGAATTTTTCTTATGCTACTATCTTTAAGTGCAATTTTTGTTATTTTATCTTTTTGGACCAAGTGTTCTGATCTTAAATATAGCATGCATAAGTTAAATCCCAAATTTGGCATGTTTGAAGATCAAGCTTATTCCTCTCAGGTATCATATTTTGTAAAAAAAATTTAATTTTTATTAATAAAAATAATTCTCATAAATATTTTGTAAATTTTGGTTTGATAAAAATCGTTTTTGACGTAATTACTCTTATGGTAAACTAACTTGATAAAATTTTTTTTTTTAGGTTGAAAAATTAGGATCAGGTTTTGAAGAGATTGAATGTGTAATTAATCAAGAATATTCTGTCAGTTGTAGAAAAGAAGGTGAAGAAGTATATTTACCTTTTACATTTTTGCACAAATATTTTGAAGTATATAATTTTTTTTACTCTCAAGTTTTCTATTTTTTTTTTTAATTTCACTTTAATAAAGTAGACATGATTTTAAGGTATATGGGAAATTAGCCAACTATGATGGTTTAGAAAAGTTTGAATGGTCCCATACATATTCAAGAGTTAATAACCCTAAAGGAAAATATAATCCAAGAGGAATATTTATGTATTTTGATAAATACAATGTTGAAAGTAGAGATAGAGTGAAATGTTTGAGTGCCATTGAAGGTAAATTATGGACTTCAATATTACTGATTTTTTTTTTTTTTAAATTGTATAAGTAATCTTTTAAGTTACCATTATCTATTATAATGTTTAAAGGTGTTCCAATTTCTACTCAATGGGAAAGCAAGGGTTATTATTATCCAACTCAAATAGCACAGTTTGGTTTAAGCCACTACAGTAAAAATTTAACAGAGCCTGAACCAAAGAGAAAAGTTATAGAAGATGGTGACAAGAAATTAGCTAATTGGATTAAATCAGGTCCAGATGCTAACTTTTTTAGAAAAGTACAAGAAAATAGTGAAAATGTAGTTTTAGAGTTTCAAACATTAGGTAATAAAATTTTTTATTACTGATTCACTTATTTTTATACATCTCAGGGGTTTATATTAAAATACCATTATCTATTATAAGTTTAATACTTACTAATAAGTATTATTAATAAAAAATTTTGAAACACTTTATAATGAGCCATTAATTATTTTATTTTTTTTAAAAATTATTATAAGTATTAATATATGCAGAAGATATAAGATTTCAATCTATGACAAATCACTATTTGACTTTTGAAATATTAAAAGTGTTTTTTTTTGAGCAAATTGATACATTTTACAGGTACAGTAACTAGTCACATATTTTTAAAGTTGGATCATGTAGTAGATTTAATACTTCAGTTAGATATAAAACTTTCATCTAATTCTTCTCTTATTGTCTCATTACAAAGTAGAGATAATAAAGAATTGTTTTATCTTCATTATATATCATCCGATGAACACATATCTGCCGAGGTTTGTTATCTTTTCTGTATTTTAATGAATTAATGTTTATATTTATTATTTTATAAATCATTGTAATTAATATTAAAATATTTTTATTCATAAAAAACTAAACTATTTAACTCTCTTAATTGGTAAAATAGCTGTCATAAAATAAAATTTAATATTATTATGTTTTAAAACATTAATAAGAAATCGTGTTAAGAACTCGAAAATAAAATATTACATCAATATTATGATTTGGGATAAATTAGGGATTTTATATCTATTAAAAT